CATCAAAGCGTAAAAACCTTCTATAGAAAACGTTTTTCGGTGCTCTCAAGATCAGAACTTTTTTTAAATTACGCACTAAATCGGTAAATTGTTCATATAGTGACACTTAAAAGTATAATGTTCTTGCCTTAAATGATTTAAAAACTTAATTTTATTGAACAACGACAACAGATAAGAGAACTTTTAACTTCATACTCTGAGCTCTGTGAGCGCTAACCTGGAAGCTGCTGCTGCCGCAGTGCATGCTGGGACAGCGGTCAGTCTCAAGAACAGACGCGTCTGCTCAGATGCATGCTGGGTAAAGAGGGACGGGCGAGAACAACATCCGGGGACTTTGTCCGTTCTCGTTCTTGTTGCGAATTGGAACAGTAGTAAGGCTGAAGCTGATGACGTTTTTTTGAGTAAACAAGCATGAGAACGCACAAGTACACATATGGAGAAACGGCCTAAAGCCTGGTTTATGCCCAGAAACCAGGTCGTCTGGGCGTGTGCAGTCAACACAGATAGTTTTGGCCCTCATGTTGCTCCGTTGTCGCACAAACTTGCCCCCACTTCCTCACCGCCTCGGCCGCATCTAGACACACAGCTAGTTCCTGATTGTCCCTCTTGCATTGTAGCGTGGAATAACATAGCGCAGACCACGCATCATCAAAAATATCTGCGTCATACCTGCGACACACTGCTGCAGGAGGATAACCAGCCTTTAAGTCATCATCATTGTCTTCCTGCAGTCTTCACTAACCATTCCTCTCCTCTCCCATCAGGACTCTCTGGCTTTGGGGAAGACGGACGATGAGGCCCTGAAACAGTTTCGCCAAAAGTTTGACGAGGCACTGAGAGAAAGCTGGACGACCAAGGTGAACTGGATGGCCCACAACGTGGCCAAAGACAACCGCTCCTAGAGCCGCTGGAACCCTGGGGGTCAGGAAGTCTGTGATGGGAGGTGTAGACGGGGCCAAAGAGACGGCGTAGGGGGGGCATGAATATTTATATATAAAACCCTGGTTTAAAGAAGGGAAGTAGCTCAAAACAAACACTGTAAATAAAAAAAGATTATCTACTACGGGGTAGTTCAGGTACCCTGCAACCTCCTCCTCGCCCTCTGAAACCATGGCATGGTGCCCCCACGGACTTCAAAACGATGGTCTGGAATCATTTCTGTGGAATTGCCATTATTGCTAGATTTGCACGGACTGGACGGCTGGTGGAGGAGGCGGCTAGAAGAGGGGGGCGAAGACCTCCCTGTGGAGAAGCTGCAGCATCATGAACTACAGCAGCGTTTCAGGGAGGCTGCTGGGAAACGTTTATCTCAACCACAGCCCTCAACCAGCTGGGCTGCGATAAAGAAACTTCCAACAGAGAAGTCCTCCATGTCTTAAAATGGCGAGCGCCGCGACCTCGAACCCGTCGTCTGAAGGGCCGCCGCCAAACTGCAGGAAGATTGTATTTGTTTTGTTTTTACTGTGTAAGAAACATTTACGTGCCAGACTACTTTACTAGTCCACAGGGTGAAGTGGAGGGGAAGGAGAGCTTCGTGGTCCGCGGTCCGACTTGGACCTCTCTGCACTCGAATGTTTTTAGAGCCCTTTGAGTAAAAGACTTTTAATAAACTAAACACTTTATTCTGTTTGTATTTTTATTGTTTTTAAACCTACAGATTCTGAAGCATTACCATGACTGTCCTGTTTGACTTTTAAATTTTTAAAAATTTTTTTTTTAAAGGGCCAACAAGCAGCGATGTCAAATGCTGATTCTTTTAACGTGTTACAACCAAAAATCATTTTTATCCTCTGGTTTTAATAATCTGTTTCCGAGCTGAATGTGCAAACCTGTTTCCCACTCTGTCAAGTGCATTGGTTCTTATACCAGCGGACGTGGGCGGAGCCAGCTTACCGGTAGGCGGGATTTGTCCTAAAAAAGCTAAATGTTAGACTGTGACGTAGAGGTACGTCTTGTTCCGTCTTACGGTTCCAGAATCTGCTTCTGTATTCATCGTTTGTGCAATATCCCAGTTAATGTCCCATCAAATCTGATCTTAATCGCGGGCTCTACGAGTTCGTCTCGCGTCGTGCTTCGCGGGAGAAGCGGCTCTAAATCGCACCGTTAGCCTTCAGAAGTCTCAAACACTGGATGTTGTAAAATGTACAGGCTTTAACTGTGTTGCCTTTTTTTTGTTTTCATAGGAGTTTTATTAAAGTTATTTTCCACAGTTCATCATTTGTGGCTGGGTGAGTTTTTTTTTCTGTTCTGGTTTTGGTTTCATCGTTTTACTCCTACTCAGGTCAACATGGTGGATTTATATATAATATATGATTGTAGCATTTTATTGATTTCAGAGCAGAAATATACTTCTGCATTGCTGAAGCAGTTTGAAGGGAGTTTTAAAGGAGTCATATCCTGGTGTTTTAAACATAGAATACGGAGGGTTAAAGGAGGCAAAATTATAATGAAAAATGTAAATAGATATACACTGGTCAAAAAAATTAAAGGAACACTTTAATCAGATTAAAGCATCAAGTTAATTAAACTTCTGGGATATTGATTTGGTCAGGTAAGTAGCAGTTAATCAGTCACTGCAGAAACGATCTTGCAACAAGTACAAATTTCTTAAATTAAGTGTATTTACCCTTAATTAAAGTTGGTAAATGAAACAGTTTGCCAATGGAGATGAGTATTTTTACTCTTAAAATAAGATAATTAAATAATATGC